CTAATTAGCAGCCCCCTACTTAGCAACAACTTAGGCATAATTACAAACCCACCAGGATCCAAAGCAAAGACTCATGCCCTCTTCTCCCTCCCTTCTCCCAGGCTTTCAGGAGTGACAAGGGCCACCTGGGAGTCAAGAATTCATCTCAAGCATCAAACTCCCTCTGTCATGGGAGGGCCATGGCCTGGAAATCGCCCCCTCAAGTCTAACCACCTGCCCCTTCTGCTGCAGTCCTCAAGGGAGACCAGAGTGTGCCAATGGGTGTTCTCACGCCTGCCCTCCTTGCCCAGGGGCTGGGCAAAGCAGCCTGGCTCAATCTCTTTTCCTGCAAAACCTGGTTTTCTCTCACTGAGGCCTTAGGGGAGGAGGGGTCAGGGAGAGAAAGCACTAGATAAATATTTGTGAAACGAAGGACCAAGAGCTCTGAGCCCTGTCGCTGGGGCCAGCTGGGCTTCCTCTGCTGGAGGCGCCTGCCTGTGCCTTCTGCATCCACCAGCAGCCCTGAAACCTTAGCTGGGTTTAGAATCCAGGGGCAAAAGGATCAGGTTGAAGCCAGGGTAGGAGTCTGGAGGGCAGATGGTGGCATCTCTGCATCTCTCCCCACCCTCGTGGGCAGGTGACCAGCTGGGTCAGTGGTGAGCACCCCGGGTCCACCTCCCGCGCCTCCCAGGGGCTCAGAGACCTCCTTTCTAGAGTGGGACTGCAGGCATGGGGGGGGGGGTCAAGTCTGGTATGCCAGGTGGGACCTCCTCCCTCCCTCACGTCCCTCACATTGGCAAGGGAGGTGGTGGTTCCTGGTTGTGCTCTGGTGGGGGCAAGGGGTTGCCCGCCACCCCTCGGAGGGATTCTGAGGTGGGGACACAGGCTTCTAAACACACCCACTTACTGCTCCGGGGGTGAGCCAGGCTCTCCCAGCACCACGTCCCAGCCTGGGGCTCACACATAGTCTCAGTGCTCAAGGCTATGACACCCTGATGGGTAAACTGAGGTCCGGAGGGGAAAAGAGCATGGCCAGGTCAAGCAGCTTCAAAGCAGGGGCAGGAGAGGATAGAAACTCAAGGCATAGGACTCCTAAGCTGGTGCCCTTCTGAATCCAGCTGGGCCCCACGTGGACACTTGAGGACCTCACCCCATCACCGCCTGGGCTACAGGCGAGGCCCACACCTCTCCCCTGGTCACTCACTCTCGCCCAGCTTCTCTGGGGCCCCCTTCCCCCAGGAAAGAAGAAGATGCACTGGCCAGGGACCTCCAGACTCAGAGGGGCCCTCTCGGAGCCCCCAAGCGATGGTGAAGGAGCTTTGGAGAGCCACTTCCATTGAGAGGTAGGTCTGAGGCTGGTATGCCACGAGAGGAATGGAGGTGAGGCTGCAGAAAGGGCTGGCCCGACTCGCCCAGTACCTTGGTGCTGGGCCTGGAGTAGGAGAGGTGCTCAGGAACTGTCAAAGGGACGGACGAGTGAAGCAAGCCATGCACAAATGGCAAAAGAGGTATAGAAGTCAGACCGCAGGAAGGACCGGTCCAGTTTGTACGAAGAGGAATGGGGAGGCAAGATTGGAGGACTGGTGCAGTCTCCACCATAAAGGGTATAGGGTAGACTGCAGGAAGGACTGGCTTCAGAATGCCAGGTACAAGGCAGGGGAGAGGAGAGGAGCTCTGTCCTGGGGGGTGGGGTGGGGAGGGATGGGGCGCAAGCCAGCCGGGAGCTCAGCTGAAGAAGGGAGAGGAGTTGGGGGGACTCCGCGCCTCCTGGGGGAGCCCATTCTGCGGAGGGGGGAGTCTTCTTTCTCCAGGTCTCCCCCTTGCCAGGGGCGGGGACAAACGTGTGTAGGAGGAGAGTTAACACGCTACCAGGGAAGAGAGAGACAGAGAAATAGAGACCACATACCTACAGACAGAGATGGAGAGCAGGGAGAGGGGCAGAGAAGAGAGAGGGAGACACCCACAGAGACAGAAACACAGGAGAGCTGAGACGGGAGAGAGACACAGACACACAGACACACACACACACACACACAGATGGTGAAAGAGGAAGGCAGGGAGAAAGAAACCAAGGACTTAAAGACAGAACCCCGAAAAGACACAGGACAGACCTACGCACAGAGGGGACCAGAGGAACAGAGGCGCGAGTGAGGGACTGAGAGACGGACACAGGGAAAGGGACTCAAGAGAGGCAGCCAGACGCTGCAGGACAGGACCCCCCGAGAGATGTGGAGAGACAGAAAGATGAGACCCAGACGCAGGAAGGCGGGGGCGGAGGGAGAGAAGGCGAAGGGGGGCTGCCCCAGACAGGCTGGGGTGTTCTCGCCCCCTCAGTGCCCAGGAGGCACCCCCTCCTCAGCCCGCCATGCTCCCTGGAACACAGGAGGGGCTGAGGATGTTGGCTGCTGGTGGCGCCCCCAACGCACGGAAGGGACTGAGTATCCCCACCCGGGATATGCAGCCCCCCAAGCCCCATAAACGAGCTCAGGGAAAAGCGGCTCCTGGCTCCTCAAATGTCCCCCTCCACCCGCCTGGGACAACACCATCCTTCCTCCACACACCCCCCCCCCCCCAGCGGAGGGTCTCTTACCTGCAGCTGCCGCTTGGAGCAGGTCCCCCTAGCACTGGGCTGGCAGTGGTGGGTGACTCCGCCCGACAGAGAGAGAAAGAGAGAGAGAGAGAGAGAGAGAAGAGCTGGAGACTGAGAGGGAGAGCCAGGGAGGAGGGGAGGGAGAGGGGGGAGGGACACGGGGGAGGGGGAGTCGGGAGAGAGGGAGGAGGAGGGACGGGGGAGAGTGCTGGGAGGGAGGAGGAGGAGCCAGAGACAGAGGGGAGGAGGAGGAGGCGGGGAGAGGGGAGGCTGCGGCGAGGCGGGGGAGGCTTGGGGAGGGGCCTGTCGAGAGGAGGTTGGGGGGAGCCCAAGCCTCCCACCCACCCTTCAGGTTCAGCACCACAGACAAGGGACAGAGGTGGAGGGTGCTTTTATGTGTGTGTGTGTGTGTGCGCGCGCGCGTGTGTTTGGGGGGGGGCTTGGGGGTCATTCAGAGGCATCCTTCCCCCTCCCCAACACACACACACTCTGATCCATACAAGGGCCAGAGAGGCACGAACAGCTACAAATAGTTACAGGCTCACAGAACCAGGGGGAGGGCAAAAATGTTTAACCAGTCAGATCCAAATTCACATGCTGTGCCTGCAGACATAACCTCGCCAAGCCAGCCAGAAACAACCACAAAGGCACCCATTAATAATAGTAACAACAGTTACCATTCATACCGCCCTTACCACCTGCCAGGCGATGTTATAAATATTTTTTTGGTAAGTGACTGACAGGTGTTGACACAACTAGCCCTTCTAATAATCCTGTGAGATAATGCCATTAGCCTCATTTTACAGATGGGGAGATCGAGGCACAGAGTGGCCAAGTGGGGCTTCGGGCTCCACAGCCTTAACCACTCCACTGAGTGCTGTTCCAGACGGAGGAGCAAGTGGGAAGTCAGGCAGCGAACCTGCAAACGGCAAGGCGAGGGCCCGAGCCCTGAAGAGGACACACACGTGCACATACAAGCCCGTGAGCACACGCTTCACAGACTCACACCACTGCTGACGAAACTCACCTAATCCCACGCCGGGGTCTCACTCCCACCCAGAACGGCAGGTGATGCAGCTCTCCGCCTCGGCAGGCGGGCAGCAGGAGGGAGGAGACCCCGCCCGCACCAACAGTCTGTGCCCATGGCCAGTCCAGGCTGGACACCCTTGGGCGGGCTGCCAGGAAGAGGGAGGCGATTCAGCTCCCTGCAATTTGCCACCCTTGGGCCCGGGATTCTAGGAGCTGGCAAGGGTGGCCAAGGATTGGTGGTCTCCTGCCTCCTAAAAACCCACCAGGTGGCTTGGTCTTCACGGTCAGTGTGGGTGGTCAGACTGTTGGGTGGACTTCCTTGGCAGGAGGTAGACTGGATGGCCAGAATGACAGTGGTGTCTACCCCTCTGCGCTGGGAAGCAGGAGTCCCGCCCAAACGCTGCCCCAGGGAGGAAAAAGCCTACCCTCCCCACCAGCCTGGATCCTGCTCAGGAATTAGTTCCCAACCCCCTGCCCCCCCCCCCCACGCTATTCCTGGCCTGCGGTGGGGGAGGGCGAGAGTTCTCCCCGTTGCTGCCCTCCACTGGTCCCGGAGATCCAGACCTCTGCTTCCTTCTCCCTTGCCCTAGCCGGGGCTGCCAGAGGGAGCAAATCCTACAGCCAGCCCAGCCTTGGGCCAGGGAAACCAGCCCTGTCTCAAACTCCCTGGTCACTGGATCCCCTGGGCTTTTCAATCAGGTCTAACCTTTCCAGCATGGCACACCCTGGGTCTCTCGCTCCTGGGCCTCATCTCGGTATGCCCCACTGGGGTCTAACCTCAGATCCAGGGTGCCACACTGTGGTCTAGCCTCAGATCCAGAGCGCTCCACTGGGGTCTAACCTCAGTCCTTTTCCTTGGCTTCTACAACCTCTTCCACGTTGGTTTCACTTCAGCCTTTATGGCAGGGCCTCATTTCTATTCTCTGAGGTCTACACTATGATCTCACCTCATTCCCGCTTCTAGGTCTAACCTTGGATTTTCTCTCCTCATACGCCCCTCTCTCCTATTCTTCTGGGCGATTCCAGCACCCAACACCGAGCCTGGCACACAGCAGGTGCAAACACTTGCCAGAATGAAAGAACGAAGACAAGTCAAAGTCCGCTTCCTCTGGACATATAAATAATCGTTGGCTGACCAATTCTCACTGGGGGCAGAAGGGGGGGGGGTCAGGTAAGATCATCCCATTTTCAAACGGGGACATTGAGGTACGAGACAGGGGTGCATCAGCCAGGGTTGCAGGGCACAATGGGGCAGAGCCTGAGCAGGAACTCCCAGCTCCACCATCCTGGGGGGTCTGGGGAGACCATCCCCTCCTTCGGGAGGCTTCCCCACCATGAATGGCTAGGGGCGATTACTCCAGTGAACTGCCCCTGGCTCCGAGGCAGGCAGTGGGGTAGGAGCTCAGGAGGCCGAGGTCTCAGCGGGCCCCAGACCAGCCCTGTCCCCAGGCCTCTGCGACTGATGTATCCTCTGCTGTACTTGATGCCGAAGGCGGGTCAGGACCAGCTCCGATGCCTGGACCAGGCTGTGCTGTGGGAAACAAGAGCAGGCCCAGCTGAAGACAGGGCAGGAGGGGCGCAGGTTAGACCACGTGGGAGCTCGGCTGTGGCGGGAGGTTGGAGAGCAGAGCAGCATGTGGGGTGGGAATGGGTCTCTGTGATGGGGTGAAGGTTAGACCCAGGAGGATGGCTTTCGTTGAATTTCCAGTGGGAGGAACGGAGCCTAGACCCAAATGTACGGGTGTGAGATTAGAACTCAGAAGGGACAGGGAAGGACTGAAACATGGCAGAGACACTACACTGTACGGGAGCGAGGCTGAGGTTAGACCACCGAGGGGCGAGGCACGGGGGGGAGACAAAGGTGAGCCCTTGACAACAAAGGATAGGCTAATAACAGTAAGGCAGAGGAGGGGGGCGCCTCGCTGGCGCCTGAACGCACGTCCTTGTGGGGCTTCTCCCTGTCCCCTTCCGTGTTTCTGGGGAAGAGCGTGCCCTCGACAGAACACGTGTGCCAAAGCCTCCAGCTCAGGCTCTGCTTCGAGGGGAACCGAACCCGGGAAGCCCAGCTACCTGCAGGATGTGCACGCCCTTCAGGGAGACCACGGCGAGCTCCTGCAGCCCGTCCCCGGTCAGGTCCACGTGCGCCATGGCCAGCAGCGGGCTGGAGAAGCCTCGCTGCCACAGCAGGCGGAATCCGCGCTCAGCCTCAGGGAGCCCGGACTCTGGGCCGAAGTACTTGTAACAGAGCAGCTCCTGTGGGGGCGGGATGGGGGCGAGGGTCACACGGGGATGTGGGGCAGTGGGAGGGGACAGGCGGCAGTGGTCCCATTCCCCAAGTCCTACCTGCCCGTAGGTGGCCACCAGGACTTCGGGCCGCCCATCCAGGTCCACATCGGTGACCAGGCCACAGAGGACGCTGTCAAACTGGTCACTGCCGGGCAGGAGAAGCTGGTCCTCGAGGCCCCGGCTCAGCAGGTCCCTGAGGGTCCCCGAACGCGGTGGGGAGACCGAGGTCATACCACAGTGCCCGCCAGCCTGGGCGGCAGGCCTGGTCCGGGTGGCCACGCTGCTCCCCTTCCCAGGTCTGGGCCACGCTGTTCCTCCTGACGCCCGGACCCCCTCGTCTCCAACCTGGATGTCTCCACGTCCACCAAGGGGAACCCGAATTGCTCACTCCCAGACTGGCAACCCACCATTCTCCAATAGGGACACCCACGCTGTCCCCTGGAGGCGGGACCATCTCACTCCCACATGGAGGCCCCACTTTGCCTCTTCTGCCTCCAGTCTGGATGCGCACACAGCCTCCGTGGGGCCGGGGCGGGGGGGGCTCGGTCCCAGCTTGGACACCTGCACTGCCCATCAGGGGAGCCACATCTGGCTTGCTCTGGCTCCCGAGAGCAGACTGGGATGTTTTCAGAAATTTTGCCAGCTGGCTGGCATCAGGTTGGTGGCTCGAAATCTACCGCAGCGGGAGTAGGTACACTCCAGAAATCGGCCACATGCCGAGCCAGGTGGCAAGCATTTGCCAACTCGCTTGTCCAGGGGGAGTGGGCATCTCGGTTCCCACCCCAAGGCATCTCGGTAGCCCCGACAAGTTCCAGACATTCACACTCCCCTCCCTGGGGCTCGACCACCTTGACCTGCCCAGCCCTGAACGACCTCCCCCAAGGAGACGTCCTGCTGAGGACCCTCACCGATACACCACTGCAGGTTCCAACATGCTGGCTACAAGCACACCGTACTCTTCCCGCTGTGGCTGGTCCCCGGTCTCTGGAGAAGGGGCACGAGGGGGCGGGGCCTGAGGGGACAGGCTCCAGGCTCCTCCTCACACCCCCGCTCCATGACAGGACGAAGACCCGAAGCTGTGCCAGGGAGGGATGCTTCGAGGTTAGACCACAAGAGAATGAGGAGTGAGGGGAGACGCCGGGAGGAGGAGCAGGTGTGAGGCCAGACTGGGAGGGAGAGGAGTGAAGACCAAGCCGAGGAGCAGAAGGCAGCCTGCAGAGGTCAGGCGAAGGGAACCCACCAGGGAAGGCCAGGGCACAGCAAGAGGAACAGAGCAACACGTGGGGGAAGAAGGGAGCCCGCGTAGGAGTAGGAGGGCGCATGGAGTTCCTGGGGCGGGGGACCTCAGGGTTAGATCGCAGCAAGAGACAGAGTGAAGAGGCCAGAGGGGGGATGAGAGGAAGTCACAGTGCGCCGGCTGACGGTCAGACCACCAAGGGAAAGACAAAAGTCCAACTCGAGAGAGGGTCTAAGGTTAGACCACTGTGGCAAGTCGCTGAAGTGAAATCTGAGAGCACAGAGGGGAGCGAGGGGGCCCGGGAGGGATGCCGGGGGGTTGGACAATTTGGGAGAGGGGCATGAACCTGGGTGTGGGGAGCCGAGCCTGCAGAAGTCACCCCCCACCCCAGGCCCGGAGCTCACCCTCGGGGGCCGAGAGGCTGAACACGATCACTCGGGAGATGGGGCCATCCTGCAGGATCGTCCATGTCTGCAGGACCTCTGTGGGGAGGGAGAGGACTCAGGGCCCTGCCCCCAGCCCCTGGCTCCCAGCCCCCAACCTGGGACCTCACCTTGGCTTCGCTGGTCCACGTGGGCAACTCGGACATATCCACTCTGACAGCCGAGGGCGGAGAGTCGCCGGGACGTGCCGGGAAGGTTGTGGACGTCAAGCCAGAGGACGCTGGTGGGCAGGTGGGTGGACAGCGGGGCTGAGGGTGTCACCAGGTACTGGTCCCAGGAGCATCCACCCGCTTCCCGTAGCCCTGGGAACCCGCTGGGGAGTCTGATTTGGGGAGTCTGAGGTTCTCTGATTTCCCGGAGCCTGTTTCGTGTTTTCTCTGTGATCACCACTGTTGACCAGCTTCTCCGAAGTCACATCCGTGGCCCGAGTTTGCTGAACTCCCCTCCCCTGCCCAGCTTCTCTGAGGTCATCTCCAACCTCGCTGTTCCTGAGGGTTTTCCCACCACCTGATTTCTCTGGGGCCACCTGCTCTAGTCCCCAAGGGTCTCTTTCCAGGTACTCTCTTACCTACTGGTCAGGTTTGTGAGCTCTGGGAAGAGGTTTTCCACGGGCTGTTCTTCAAACTGATGCAGCCCCTCGTTCTGGGGGAACCAAGACCGAGGCCAGCCTCACACCCAGCACCAGCCCATGGCGACCGGGGCAGGGCCCTGCCCACCGTGCCTCCCTCTACCTCACCTCCTTGTACAGATGAATGGCCGGGTCATTCCCACTCAGGAGAAACACTGTCTCCAGTTGATTCCCGACCTGGACCCTGAAAGCAGAGAAATCTAGAGCCCCAGTGTGGCAGAGTCCATGTGTAGAACTGTCCAACCTCAGAATCGCAGAAACCTTCTGTTTCTAGAGCCCTCACCTGCTAGAATCCTCATTCTGCGTGTGGATTCAGGCACGGAACATGGGGCTCTAGTGTTCTAGAATGGGACCTCTTTAATCTAGAACTGCAGTATTCCAGAAGTTCTGCTTTCCATCTCCTTTGAAATACTTGAACTTCTAGAAATTGCCACCATGGATATTCGGACTCATAAAATAGCTGAACATCCAAATCCTAGAATCCAGAACATCAACTTCTAGAATTCTCACCTGCTAGACCAGAGGCTGGCAAACTATGACCTACAGACCAAATCCAACTTACCCCCTGTTGCTATAAATAAAGTTTTACTGAAACACAGCTACACCAATTATTTACATAGTGTCAATGGCCGTTTTCTTGCTACAGTGGCAGATGAGTAGTTTTAACAAAAAAACTTGGCCAATCACTGTGCTAGACCACTGGTGTTCTAGAATGGAACTCAGAGCTCTAGAGTGGAATTTTCATACTTTGGGATTCTAGATGGTCTGTATTCTGTCTCCTTGAAATATGAGAATACAAAACAGGAGAATGACTTTATCACTACAGAATCTCAGAACTACCAAACTGCAGAATTTTTAAATCTTGGAATCTCAGAGCTTACGACTCAAGAAAACTTAGCATCTCTGGATCTTGCAGGATCCAAATCTAGAACATCAGAACCTGAGAGTTCTAGCTGTCTAGAACACAGACGCTCAATCAGCTCTCAGATTATCTAGTTCAGGGCCGAGGCTGGTCCACAGCCACTTTAAAAGCACAATGCTCTAAAAAACAAAACTAGAGTCTCATTGTCTATGGGCAGGTTTGCTGCCTCGTTTGCTAGAGCTTCCCCACTATGCGCGCGCGCGCACACACACACACACACACACACACACACTCTACGGTATTACACCTGCAGCTTACGTACTCTGCATGGCACAGCTGGAAAGGAGTGAACTGAAGCTCCAGGTTCAGGCAGCTCTCTGTAAGGGGAGCACACGCAGATGGGCACCGGGGACCTGACAGGTGCCCCCTCCCATCTTCCCCATCCCTCCTTCCCTCGAGGCCACACTTACGGGCTATGGAGTCAAGGTTGTACTCAGAGCCAGGCTCGTAGTCGCAGTAAATGTTCAGGAAGGGGCTGCCCTTGTCCCCTGAATCCTGGAGTAGGAAACTGGCCTCAGGGGAGAGTAGGGGCAGTGAGAGGGATTTGGGTCAGGCGCATGGGATCTTGAGGAGGAGGGAATGGGTAGGTGGAGCGGGCCTGGATACCTTGATGAACGTGATCCCCACCACCAGGCCCCGCTTTGGGGGTGACTTGTTGAAGGTGTCGATGGAGACAATCTCCGCGTCCACTGGGAGGGGACAAAGTTCACGTCAGGCACTCTCCTGACCCCTATATCCCCAATCACAGTGACCCCTGACCTCTAGGACTCACTAATCTCTGACCATGGCAATTGCCATCATCTCTGGGTCCATGTGAATCCCTATCATCATAACCGTGGTAGAAGGGATCCTAATCTCTGGGTCTGAGGAATCCTGGACCCTAACCACTGGCACCGATGCCTCCTCATTATCAGCCTTGATCCCTTTCGGTCACCCCGATCCCATTCTCTCATCACGGGCTACCCAGCTCAGAGCTTCAGAAGCCTTCTCAACACCAAGTTCGAGGAACCCCCCCCCCAACCCCATGGCGCCACGCACCGGGAATGTAGTTGAACTGCAGCTCCTTGGCCACGGGCCGGATTTTCTGTCGGAGGTCTTGGTAGCGGAAGCCCAGCACCTTGCCTTTAAGGGTGGCGGCCAGCAGCTCCCCGCGCCCGCCCGCGCCGCCCGCTAGCCCGTACACATTGCTCTGCGACGAGAAGCGCGTGAAGCTATCCTCGCGCAGCGGGCAAGGCCCTGCGGCCACGGCCGCCTCGCCCATCACGCCCCTCAACCACTCACCCCTGGCAGCGCCCGCCGCCCGCCCTGCCCCACCCCAACCACCGCTCCCGAAGCGACCTGAACCGCCGGGTGTCCGCACGTCGCGCCGACTGATGACGCAGAGAAGCTGCCGTCGCTGCCCTTTATCAAGATGGCCGCCCGCCGGGCCGCCGGGGCTTCCAAATAAGACTGCCCCATCGCGCGTGCGCGCTTCTCGCCGCTCCTTTTCGGAGTCAAGGAGGGGGCTGCCACTGCCAGAATTGGGGAGGTGGTGGGCTTCGCTGTGGGCTGTGTGGAAGGTAGAATAATAATCCTAAAACTCAGTATAGTCCTTACGTGCCAGGAACTGTTCTAAGCGCTTTCCCTCTATTCATTTCAAACTCACAAGCAGGCTGAGGTAGGTACTAGGTCTTACGAAGGAATCGAGGCACAGGAGGGAATTTGTCTATGATCGCGCAGCTAGTAAGCAGTAGTGGAATCCATACGAGATAGTTCCATAGTCTGTTATTTTAATCACGTTACCTTTAAAGTGGTGAAATGCATTCATACCCAAGGAAAAAGGATCTGGCTGTCGGTCCTGGCAAAGAACCACCTCCTTCACTGAATACCTACTTAGTACCAGTGATGTTGGCCCCGATTATCTCTGAATCCTGACAGCCACCCAGCTGTTGTTACCCTGCTTTCCTTTACTCAGCATTTATTGAGCACTTACCGTGTGCCAGGTCATCCTTTACACATCAATCTCGATGAACCCTCCCAACTCTGCAAAGGAGTTTATTGTCCCAATTTATAGAGGATGAAATTGTGGCTCATATGATACGACTGGAAAGTGGGGGAGGCTCTGGGGTCTTCAGGGGTTCATATTTTTTTTTTGTTGTTGGACCTAGAAAGGCATCAGGAGTTTGAGGGACTGTGTATACACCTGTACCTCATTTCCAGAAGGTAAGAGTTGGCCAACTGGCCATGTTGAGTTAATCTTCTGTCTCTCTCTCTCTCACACACACACACACACTGCAGGAAGTACGAGTGTACATGCGGGTGCACACACACGTAAACAAGGACTGCAGGATCCGTGAAGGTAGTGACTGGATCTCCCTTGGTCACTGTCGGATCCCCAGCTCCTGGACCACGAGGCCTGACACAAAGCAAGCATTCAGTAAATGTGTTAGAAATCCACAGACTCCAGGGCACCTGGGTGGCTCAGTTGGTTAAGTGGAGCTTCAGAAGCCTTCTCAACACCAAGTTCGAGGAACCCCCCCCCCAACCCCAGGGCCCACGCACCGGGAATGTAGTTGAACTGCAGCTCCTTGGCCACGGGCCGGATTTTCTGTCGGAGGTCTTGGTAGCGGAAGCCCAGCACCTTGCCTT